TGTCGAAGTGCCCGTAGGAGATCTCGTACTTGTCGTAGTGGGAGCCCAGCAGGCTGTTGTAGCCGCGCATCTCGTAGTGCAGGGGCACGGCGGCGCGCGCCGAGCCGGCCACGCGCAGCGTGTACACGTTCTTCTTGCGGCCCCAGTAGGACACGTTCTGCCACACGGCGCAGCGCTGCCCGCGGAAGTGCTCCTCCCGCACGAACTGCGGGCACGGCGCGAGGCGGGCAGGAGGTGGCACCGCGGCCGTGCCCCGGCCGCCCGCGCCGCGCTGCTCACCTGGAAGTGCTCCAGGCTGGGGAAAACGCTCTGCGGGGCCACCAGGTCCCCGGCGGTGCCGTTGATGCGGAAGCACTTGCGCACGTTCACCTCCGTCTCGGTGGTCTCGGGCGTCACCTTGAAGCTGGCGCCGAAGGGCTCCACGGAGCCCAGCTGGTAGGTGACCACTTGGCCTGTGGGACGGGCTGCAGGTCGTCACCACCACCCCGTGCCACCAAGGGGGTCCCATGGCCACCCCCTCCCAGTGGGAGAGCCCAGGGGGCCACCAGCGCCTTGCTGGGGCTCGGAGGGTGGGTGGCCCCGTCCGGCACCTACCGCCGTAGTACTGGATGCGGCTCTTGCCCCCGCTGAGGTTGTACCAGGCCTCGAAAGGCTCCTTGATCTCGGCGTAGGGCAGGCTGATGATCCCTGGGGACACCGGGGGGCTCGGGGCGGGAGCCGCCGTGGGGGCTCAGCCCCACGGAGGGTCCCGGCCAGGACAGGGTGCTTCCCGAGGGATGCGGCCACCCGCTGCCTGGCACGCGGCAGGGGACCCCAGCTGTCCCCTGCCATGCAGAGGGGACACGCGACAGCCCCCCAACTGTCCCCATGATGCAGCGGGCAGCGCTGCCCACCCGGCACTGCCACCGTCCCCCGTCCCGTCCCCCACGGGTACCTGTGACGTGATAGATGTCCCCGAACGTGGGTGGCTCCGGAGCAGCTTTTCCCTCTGCTCCTGGAAGGACAGACCCGCTTTGCACCGCGGGCTCCGTGTGCTGCTGGGAGCAGCGGAGGTTACGGCTCGCTGCCCGCCAGGAACCGGCTCCTAGGGACACATCCAGAGCCGGGGGCACCCACCCTGGTGGCCTCCACCTGAGGCCACACAGCCCTTCTCCACAGCCCATCCCGGGCATCCCCATTGCCCGCAGCCAGAGGTGCTGCCAGCCCCAAACCTCGAGGGGCAGCCACGTGCACCCCGGGGTGCCGGGACAGCCTGGGCCCTGCTGGAGCACCCCTCAGTCACCAGCTCTGCCCTGGGGACAAGGACCCCAGCAGCAACCGGCGCCACAGGGGCAGGATGCCATGGGGGGGGCACAGCAAACATGCACGCAAGTGCGCACCCATGCATGCACACGAGCATGCATGCATGCATGCAAGCATGCACCACGCCATAGTGCCCACCCAGCAGCAGAGCAGCTCCCAGCACCAGCAGCCTCCCCAGCACCTCCATCCTGCAGCAGCCCCCACTGCTGCTCCGCACCCAAGGGTGCCTTAAATAGGGCTGCAGGGCAGGCAGACAGCCTGGCCCTCCCCATGGGCTGGCACTGGAGCAAGGGGCACATGTGGTTTGCCTCACCTCATGCCCCCACCGCCTTTCCCTCCTCCATGGGCACCCATGGGTGCTTCTCCCACACCAGCACCCATGCTCCGTGTTTGCAGGCAGGCAGGGGTGGCAGGGCAGTAACCAGTCCCATGGGGCACCTCTTGGGCTGGTGATGGGTGTTGGGCTGTCCCTACTGTCCTGGCAATGGGTGTTGGGGTGCCCCTGCTCTCCTGGTGATGGGTGTTGCACATTGTGGTGTCCCTGCTGTGCTGGCAATGGGTGCTGGGGTGCCCCTGCTCTCCTGCTCACAGGTACTGGGGTGCTGGCAGCAGCACACGAGGTGCATGAGCAGCACCGGCAGCAGCACAGGTTCGGGAGGAGCCAGTGAGACCCCCAGCACCCCAGGAAGGCGCCCACACCCAGCGGGAAGGGAGGAGCCCTCGGGGTGCTGCCCGTCCCCAGGGACGTCCCGCAGAGCCACAGGACACGGCGCTGGTTGCATCCCGTCCCCAGGGACGTCCCGCACGGCCACAGCGGGACATGGCACCCGTTGCATTCCCGCATCCCCAGGGGTGTCCCGCAGAACTGCGGCAGGACACGGCGCCCATTGCATCCCGTTCCCAGGGGTGTCCCGCATGGCTGCAGCAGGACACAGCTCCCGCTGCATCCCCACATCCTCAGACTAGCAGGGGGCTGCACTTAGGGGGTCTCTAATTGCAGAAGGGGAAGGAGGCGGCTGAGGCGCTGGGGCCGCGGGTACCTGCGGGGCCTGGCGAGGGGCAGGGCCACCCCGGCCTTCACCCAGCCCACTTGCTCCGCATCCAGCCGCGCGCGGGCCCAAGGCCGAGCTCCGAGCGCGCCGCCCCGGGCCCCAAACAAGCCGATAAGGAGCGGGCGCCGCTGGCACCAGCCGGGCTGGGCCTGTGCACCGGGGAGCACCGGCTGCTCCAAGTGCCACCCCACGGTGTCTCGCAGGGTCCCCCAGCCCCGGGTGGCAGTGCCAAGGGGTCCCGTGGGGCACTGGGGACAAGGGGGGACCTGGCTCATGCATTGCAGCCCCGCAGGTGACGTCCCCTCCCGTAGCCACAACACGGGGTCAGGCAGCGGGGCAGAGGTTGGTCCCTGGCCTCAGCACGCCAGGAATTTCCCTCCTCAGCACAATTCCCGCTGGGATGGGGGGTTGTTTGTGCTCGGGAGCCGGAGAAGCCTCAGCCCTGCCTCCCCTGCCCCGTGGCCTGGTGACAGCGGCATGTGTCCCCTCCCTGCCACCCCCTGGTGCCCCCGGGCTGAGAGAAGGGGCTGGGGGACGCGGAGGGGGCAGGAGGGCAGAGCTGGGGGGCTTCACCTGCCCCCCAGAACCAGAGGGCTCCTCCTGCCCACGTTTACCCCCTTCCTCCCCACCCTACTCAGCAGCAAGATGGGATTCTTCCTGAGTTTTCCTGAGTTTTTATTGGCAAAACCAGGGCTGGGTCCCTGTCAACCCCTGTCCCTGCAGCAGCAGGAGCATTGGGCACCACAGAGGGGATCTAGCCCCGCATCCACCCTCACTCCCCCCAAAACAGCCTCCCTCACGTTGCTGCACCCCCAAAGGCTTCAACCCCCCCAGCAGGGCTGCGGGGGGCCCCTCAGGCCAGGACGGGGTAGGTGGCCTCGGTGGCCACGCCGCAGTTGTTGTCCCTCATGGCCATGAGGATGTAGCCGTCGTTGCCCCAGTATGTGGACCAGGAGTTCTTGACGAGCCAGTAGGTCTCTCCCTGGAGCACCCCGTAGCCCACGGCCAGCACGGCGTGGTCCAGCGCGCCCGTCGTGTTCGCTGGAGAGGGGACAGCGCTCACGGTGGCCACGGTGTCCCGCAGAGAGCGGGGTCACCCCGTCGCACCCCACTCACCGCACTTGGGCTCGTAGTAGACGCCGTTGGAGTAGAAGGAGAAGGACTTGTGCGAGGCGTCGATGCTGACGGCCACGGGCCCGTGCTTGTAGAGCGCCGTCTTGACGGCCGTCACGTTGCCCGAGGTGACGTTCACGTAGCCCGTGATCTTGCCCAGCAGCTCAGACTGGTTGTAGTGGCACAGGCCGTTCTGCGGTGGCAGGGGGAGCTGGTGTCACGGGGATCCCCCCAGGCCCCACGTCACCCCGAAGCGCAAGGAGGATGAGGAAGGACTGAGTGGGGACAGGGCCGCGTCAGCCTCACCAGGGACATGCTGGGGACACGGTGTTGCCACACGTGCCCCATGGGAGGCTGTTCTGCACCCAAATTCCCAGCCCTGGCTCCAGTAGCCACGTCTCCCATCCAGGTAGCCCCACTCCCTTCCACGCCCCAGGGGAGGAGGGCTCAGAGGCTGCAGCAGCAGCACCCACGGGTGCAGGAGCCTCGTCTGCTTTCGCAAGAGGGGAAACCGGGGCGGGCGGCGAAAAACACACCTGGCTCAGCCCCGGGCCAGGCTTGGCGCTGGCCGTGCAAGCGCAGCAAGCTTCCCCGGAGCCCGTTAGCGGCTCCGCGCCCGCGCGGCCGTCACCGCCGCCCTCACCTGCCCCTTGTAGCTGCCGTAGGACTCGGTGCTGGCGATGCCGCCGTGCTTCTTGATCCACTCGTAGGCGCGCCACTCCTCGCCGCCGTCGCACGCGAAGTTGCCGAAGCCCCAGGAGCAGTCGATGAGCACTTGCTGGGACAGCGGGGTCAGCACGCCGGTCTGCGGGGACAGGGACGCGCCGCGGGCAGCGGGACGGGGGCCTCCGGCCGCGACGCCCCGCGCGGCGGCCCCCGCGCACCTTGAGGAAGAGGGCACCCTCCATGGCACCCGTGGTGGCGAAGCTCCAGCAGGACCCGCACACGGCCTGGTCCTTCACGGGTGTCACAGCGCCTGGGAACACGGGGCAAGAGCAGCTAAAGGGCAAACAGAGGCCGGCAGCTGCACCGGGTACCCGAGCGCCCCGCGAACCAGGCTTGGCTGCTCGCTCGGGGCTGTCGGTGACAGTGACCTGGGGCGCAGCCCCCTGCCCTGGGGCTCTGCCTGCTCTGGGGGTGAGTCCACATGTGGACTGGCATCTGGCTGAGCAAGGGCCAAGCGCCCCTTGCTCCATGAGCACAGCCCACAGGGTTCCTGTGGTTCCTGAACCACACAGGGCACGGGAGAGCAGAGACAGCCCGTGCGCGGGGTGACAAGGACACCTCTCCATGCCCACGGCCCGCGTGCCAGCCCCACGCACCGTACATGCGCCAGTCGAGGCTCTCGGGCAGGATGAGGCCGGCGTAGCGCGCGGCCGGGAAGGGCTCCCCGCCGTTGGGCACGCGGCCCCGGCGCCGGCCCCGCAGCAGCGCCAGCTCCGCGCCCGTGCGGTCGGCCAGGTGGTTGAGCGCCAGCGTGTAGGAGAGCGCCGCGCGGTTCCGGGAGTGCACGAACCTGCCGCGGGGAGCAGGGCACCGAGAGGCTCCCCACGAGCCCCCGCGGCCCCGCGCCCCCCGCGTGCCCACCTCATGTTGTGCACGAAGACGCGCTCGCGGTGCTGCAGCTCGCGCGCCGAGCCGTAGCGCCAGCCCAGGCGCTGCCGGTAGTGGTGGAAGACGCGGTGGGCCCAGGGCGGCTGCCGCCCCACCAGGTCCTCCATGGGGTTCGCCAGGACGCGGTGCTCCACCGCGCTGCCCGGGAGATCCCCACAGCGCTTCGTCTCTGCGACACAAGCGGGGAGGACATCAAGGGGTCCGTGTCCCGCAGGACAGGATTGCGCCACCGGGTTGCTGTCCCCTTGCCCGTGGCATCATGCCCATCCTCACGGGTGCTGCAGGAGCATCCTCGGACCGTATGGATGCAGCCCTCCATAGCATCATGATTGAGCCATACGGACCCAGCCATACGGACCCTCCACAGCATCATGATGCAGAGCCACCCCGACACCGTGGGCCACCTTGTCCCCACAGTGGGTGGCTCCGGCCCCACGGGGATCCCCGTGTGCCCCCCTTACCATTCACGGGGAGGTCGAAAACGGAGGCGGGGAAGCTGTTGTCGAAGTGCCCGTAGGAGATCTCGTACTTGTCGTAGTGGGAGCCCAGCAGGCTGTTGTAGCCGCGCATCTCGTAGTGCACGGGCGCCACGCCGCAGCTCGCGTTGGTCACCCACAGCGTGTACACGTTCTTCTTCTGTGCCCAGCGCGTCACGTTCTGCCACACGGCGCAGTAGCGGCCCCGGTGATACTCCTCCCGCACGAACTGCGGGGTGACACCGCGGCCTCGCATGTCCCATCGCATGTCCCCTTGTGCCATCGCGCACGTCCCCGCCGCGCCGCCTGGCCTCCCCGGGTGCTTGGGGACATCCCGTGGCGCCAGGCTGGGTGCCAGGATGGCCCCAGGCACCGTCGCCATCCCTCCAACACACAGCGTTGCAACACGGCTGCTCCCATGGGGAAAGAAGCGGTGGGTCCGGCATTGGTGGGATCTTCCCGCCTATCCCTCCCTGCGCCCACAGCAGAGACCCCAAGGGCCGCTTTGGCACCAGGAGAGGGGCAGCTCCATCCCGGGGAGCGCACCGAGGGCCGGGCCCACCTTGAAGCCGGCCAGGCTGGGCAGGACGCTCTGAGCCTCGACCACGTCCTCCTCGGAGCCGGGCAGCTGGAAGCACCTCCTCGTGTTCACCTCCTTCTCCGTGGTCTCCGGCGTGATCTTGTAGCGCATCCCATAGGGCTTCACGGAGCCCAGCTGGTAGGTGATGACCTGCCCTGCGCCAGCCCCATGGGGAAACTGAGGCACCGCATCCCCTCGCGGCTCTCAGGGCCCCTTTGGGGGCCCACGGGGTGTCCCCGAGCGTCCCCGCCGCCTGCTCACCCCCATAGTACTGGATGCGGCTCTTGTTTCCCGTCAGGTTGTACCAGGCCTCGAAGGGCTCCTCGATCTCGGCGTAGGGCAGGTTGATGACTCCTGCGGGCAGCGGGCGGTCACCCCGCGTGGGGACGGCCGGCCCTGCCGGGATCATCCCCCGCCAGCGGGGCCGCGGGGTCCCAGCCGCGCTGGGCGGCCGGTCCCGGCGTGGGGACCGCTACCTTTGACATGGTAGATGGAGCCAAACTGAGGGGTCGAGCGGGAGGGCTCGCAGTTCTCTCCTGAAGGGCAGAGAAAAGCAGGGATGGATCCAGTTGGAAGAGGCAGAGGGACATGGAACTCTTATGCTGTTGGAGTGAAACCGCATTTTCCCTGCGTCCCCTCGTGCCCGGCCGCGCGGCCCCCGCGGCTGGCACCAGAATTGGCTCCGTTCGAGACTCCGGAGCAGCGCTGCCCGAGGTGGGCGGCACATCCCTTGCCAGCATCTCCAGGGAGCGGGCCGCGGTTTCGGGGGACCGGCAGGACCTGCCCCGGGAGCGCCGGCGGCAGCGTGGCTTGCGCAAGGCGCCGCCAACACGCCCTGTGCGGGAGCGCGGGGCCCGCTCTGTCCTCCTCCTCCTCCTCCTGGGAGCCCGGCTGCTCCCCGGACCTGGGGGGCCACCAGCAGCCACCCAGGTGTGCAGGACACCTGCAGCGCTGGAGCTTGGGCACCCCTGACAGCATGCAGGGTGCATGGGAGCTTCACCCTGCAGCCCCATTGCAGCCACTCGGGAAGGGGGGTTCCCACCGGGGCACAGGCCCCTCTGCAGCCACCCCCTTCCCCTGCCCCCCAAAAGAGCCTGCAAACAGGGAAGCATCAAGAGTGTGAGAAGGTCAGACTTGCTGCACTGAGCTCCATTGCACCCCATTTCCTCCCCCCCACTGCCCCCCACTCTTGTCCTCCAGGGCACAGAACCGGGCCCCCCATCTGCCACCCAGGGGACATGCAGAGACACAGGCCGGCCCGGGCACCCATTCCCCCCTCATCCCCAGTCCCAGGCACTCCACGGGGAGGGCAGCGCAGCCAAACCGTGGCGGGGGACTCCATCCCGCGTGGGGGCCGCACTCACCGCGGACGGCCGCGCACAGCACACAGGCTGCCAGCCAGCTGAGGACGCCCATGCTCATCACAGCAGCCCGCGCGGCCGCGCGCGCTCGCCTTTAAGCGCGGCCGGCGCCGGAGACACCCGGCAGAGCCAATGCAGAGGCCGGGCCCTCCCCGGAGGAGGGGAAGGAACCGGCATCAGGTGGTGCCCGGCGGGGGCGGGACGGGGCACCCCGGGGTGCTGCGCGGGGTCCCTGCACGGGGATGCGGCAAAGCAGGAGCTGGGGAGCACAAGCGGCCCGGGGAGGGGGCACGGAGAGGGGTCCATGCAGCACCCTAGCACTGCACAGCCCTCCTCTCCTTGCATCTGATCCCGGGGGCAGGGAATTCCTCCCCCCGCCCCTTCCCGGGGGCTGGAGCCAACCCGAAAGCCCGGGGCTGGGCTGAGGACGGTCCCAAGCCCCAGGGGGGCAGGGGGCTGTGCCCGCAGGTGGCCGGGGGCTATTTTGGTGAGGAGCCCTCATCTGTCCCCCACGACCCCCAGGGCCACCCCCCACCAGCGCTGTCCCCAACGGGGGTCTCGGGGCACGGGGGCACCCGCGCCAGCCCCGTGCACCAGCAGGAAGCCCCGCGGGCGGCTCGCGAAGGGAACGAGGACGAGGAGGGGAGCGGGGGGGACGAAGGCTGGAGCGCAGCAGCCTCGCGGAACCCCAGCACGGCGCCCGCTCGCCGGCCGCGCGGCCCCGCTCCGGAAGCAGCCGCTGCGCTTAAAAATATCCCTGGTGTCCGGCGGGCGCTGCCCCGAGCCGGGCGCAACCGCAGCGGCCGCGGCCCGGGGAGCGAGCCGGGACCGGCGGCTGCCGCTGCTCGCGGCGGCTCCCGCTTCCTCCCTGCAGCCCAGCCCCGCGACCCCGGCCCCGCCGCGCAGGACCCCCGTGCTGCTCCCTGTGCCACCCCCCGGCAAAGGAGGCTGCCAGGCGGGTTTTCCACCTTGGTGCATCCCGAGAAACGGCCAGGCTGCCCCTCGACCGAGGCTCCCCTCTTGCCCAGACCCCCCGCAAGGCTCCCTTGTCACCCAGGGGATCCTGCCGACGAGTGACCCCTGGGATGGGACCCCCACGGATGCCAAGGCTGGGTGCCGGGTTCACTCCGAGGGGGCTTTGCTGGGTGGGTCGTGGGGGCGGCTGCGGCGCCGGGCGCCCCTGCCCCTCGCAGCCTCCGTGGCCACTCGCAGCCTCCGTGGCCACTCGCAGCCTCCGCGTCCGGAGCGCGCGGGGAGGAAGGGGGGGGCCGGGGGAGGGGAAGCGCCGCTCGCTCGGCGGCCAGAGCTCCTGACGGCACCGGGACACTCGCCCGCGCTCGCCCGCGCACCCACGGGCCGGCCGAGCCCCCAGCCGGGCGCTGCGGGGCCCGTGCGAGGGGCCGAGCTCACGGTAATGGGGTGGCTGCTGGGGGGCAGTGGGTGCATGGCTGGGGGGGCTCTGCTTGTCCCCTGCTTTGGAGGGGGGTGGTGCTGCATGTGGGGGGGGTGCAGGGCACAGAGGCTCTGCTGTAGGGTTGGAGGGGATGGGAGACCCCCATTTTCTTCCTGCCCCCCATCAGGGCCAGTGAGCTTGAGGCGGAGGGGGAGGCAGAAAGGTGCCAGGGCCACGGTCGGGCAGGGGGGGACGGTGGCAGCACTCGCTGTGAGTGACCTCGCCCCCCAACACTATCTGCGGGCACGGGCACCGCGGGGACAGTGCTGCACCCAGGGACACAGGGTCACCTGCCACCCTGCAGGTGCCAACCCCCCCGGAGCGGGGCCATCCCTTCCATTGCCTCCTGTGCAAGAGGGGAACCCAGCTCATCCTCGAGGGTGGCAGCAGGGGGGGACCCCAGGGCGCTGCCCCCAGGGCCGGTCCCCAGCGCTGGCTGCGCCTCGTAGGGGAACAGGAACTGGCGCCTTCCTGTGCTTTACAATTCCCTCCCCACCCTGCTCCGTGCGGGACATTGTATTCGGGGCCGCGCTCGGCGGCCGCTCCGCTTCCTCCTCCCCTGCGAGCCCCTCGGATCCGGCAATTGCTGCTCTTCCAACGGAAATCCTGCTCTCCCGGCCACCGCCGCCGGGGCCGCGGGGCTCCGGCCATCGCGGGGCAGGTGGCACCGCCGGGCGGCTGGCGGGGTGAGCACTCGACTTGTGCGCAGAGTTTGCACGGAGTGACGCCGCTCTTGGCCCTGGCATGCTTATACGGGGCAAAGAGCAGGTGCCCCGCCGGCCACCGCATGGATGGTGCCATTCCGTAACCCTGCGCCCTCCTCCCGGGCCGGCTACGGAGGGCCCGGAGCAGCCCGGCGCGTTGGGCACCACATGGGAAAGGAGAGAGTCCCCGTGCCAGGATGGGGACACAGCCTGGGGACGTGTGTCCCACGAGGCAGCTCCGCCTCCCTGCAGCTGCCCCGTGTCCCTGTTCCCCCCGGGAGCGGCGGCTCCGCAGGGATGGAGCCAGATCTGCAGCAGGAGGGCGGCTGCTCCTGCTCCCTCTGAGCAGCAGCGGGAAAAAGGGGGGCCGCACAGGGCTGGGGACAAGGATGTGACCCCTGTCCCACCGGCATGACCCCCATCCTGCTGTGCTTCTCGCCCTGTTGTCTCCGTCCAAGGGCCTGGGATGCTGCCAGCCCTGTGGTTCCCCTTGGCACCTTCCTCCCCTCCTCCTCTTCCTCCCGGCTCCCGGCCACTTCTGCTCCTGCTGCCCGCAGCTTCCTGCACGTCCCCCCTGCGGCTCCCGTGTTGCCAATGCCCCCCCGCCATGGAGAAGCCTGTGGGGGACAAATGCCACCTCATGCGGTCCCCCCCACACACAATGGGTGATGAGCTGGGGAGGTCTCAGCACGCGAGTCCTCCAGCGCGCTCGGCACGGGCGAGCTAGAGAATTCCGGGGAAATGGGAAGTTTGGAAGCTGTTCTGCAGCCGGAAGAGCTGGGGCTGGGGACGTGTAGGGACCTCAGGCAGCCGAAACGTTTCTTAACCATCAGCAAAAGAAATAGAAAGGAAAAGTCCCCGCGCGGAGCGGCGCCCGCGGCCTTGCCACACCGCCTGTTGAGAAAGGCCCGGGCGGCCGGGGGGGCCTCGCGGGCCCCAGCCCCGCGGTTTGGCCCCGATTTCATCACTTTTCAGCCCCAAATTCCCCGGGGTGACCTGCAGCTCCATCCCTTCTGCTTCCTGGAGTGCAGAGGGTTGCGGCTGGATCTCCCGAAAGGAGGCTGAGGGACACGGTGACGCGCCGCTCCAATGGGATGCAGCGCTCCAGGGCCACTTGGGAGCCTCTGGGCACAGCAAGGGCTTTCCAGACCTGAAACAGGGGCCTTTCCACCTGAAACCGATGTTTCCGCCCCAAGTCGAGGCATTTCGGCCCCCAGCTGGGGTGTTTCAGCCCCAAACGGGGGTGTTTGCAGGGTATTTCTGAGCCGGGCGGCTCATGTCCTCTCCCTTGTGTGTGCAGAGGGGTGTCCTCCTCGCTGCGGTGACATGGAGCCGCTGAAGTGACCTGAGGAGCTATTGCAGTGAGTGGGGCCGGGGTTGGTGACTGGCGTGCGCAGCGTGTGCTCCGGTGAGCTCCCGTGGGCTCCGGTGCGCTGCCGCCGGCTCCCAGAGCTGCTGCACTACTGCATGCTCCTGCATGGTCCCACAAGCTCCAGCACATTCCCGCACACTCCAGCATATTCACGCACGCTCCAGCACGCTCCCACAGCTGGCACGCTCCTGCATGCTCCAGCATGCTCCTGCACACTCCAGCACGCTCCCACAGCTCCCACGCTCCCGCACACTCCGGAGCACTCCTGCATGCTCTGGCACGTTCCCGCATGCCCCTGCAGTCCGCTCACTCCTGCACGCTCCAGCATTCTTGCACAGCCGGCACGCTCCCGCACGCTCCTGCAGCCGGCACGCTCCTGCATGCTCCCACGTGCCCGGGCGCGTGCCCGGGCGCGCTCCCGCACGCTCCTGCAGCCAACGCGCTCCCGCAGGTGCTGCGCGCCATGGGCTGCGTGCACTGCAAGGAGAAGGGCCGGGCCAAGGGCCATGCCCCGCCGGCGGTGCCCGAGCCCGCCCTGCCGCCGCCCGCGGACACCTTCACCTGCATCCCCGACTTCAACAACTTCCACGGGGCGCCGGCGCCCGCGGCACCCGTCCCCACCGTGTCGGGCCTCTACCCGTCGGGCACGCTGCAGGCGCGTGGCAGCAGCATCACAGGTCAGCGGGGCTGGTTTGCCGGGAGGGGGGCGCGCGCGGGTCCCCCGCTCACCGCGCTGCCCGCAGGCGCCGGCGTGACGCTCTTCGTGGCGCTCTACGCCTACGAGGCCAGGACGGAGGACGACCTCACTTTTGAGAAAGGGGAGAAGTTCCACATCATCAACAACACGTGAGCCCCGGTCCCCAGGGACACTCCTGGGACCCTATATATATACTGGGGCCCCCCAGCCTCAGTGCCCGTGCAGCCTGCCTGGGAGCCATGCGTGTCACGAGCTGGCTGGGCTCAGCGCATCCCCGGGGGTGCTGGCGCCTGGCAGGGGAGTCTGTCCACCCGCGGGTCTGTCCGTGTGTCCGTCCCGCTCACATCCTGCTGCTCTCCCCAGCGAGGGGGACTGGTGGGAGGCCAGGTCGCTGAGCTCGGGCGCCGCGGGCTACATCCCCAGCAACTACGTGGCCCCCGTGGACTCCATCCAGGCGGAGGAGTGAGTACCTGGCGGGGGGCTGCGCAGCTGCCCGGGGGCCCAGGCGTCCTGGCATGTCTGGGGGTCCCTCATGCGTCCCCCCCCAGGTGGTACTTTGGCAAGATGGGCCGCAAAGACGCCGAACGGCAGCTCCTGGGCTACGGCAACGTCCGTGGCACCTTCCTCATCCGCGAGAGCGAGACCACCAAGGGTAGGGGACGGGGGGATACGGGGGGCAGCAGCGTCCCCCTCAGCGGGGCGCTGACCCCTGTCCCCAAACAAAGGCGCCTACTCGCTCTCCATCCGCGACTGGGACGAGGCCAAGGGCGACCACGTGAAGCACTATAAGATCCGCAAGCTGGACAGCGGCGGCTACTACATCACCACGCGGGCGCAGTTCGACACGGTGCAGCAGCTGGTGCAGCACTACGTGGGTACGGCCGGGGGGCCCCGCCGGGGATGGGCTGGACGGGATGGGCTGGATGAGAAGGAGCGGGGCCTGGGGGCGGCGTTGCAGGGTCCCCCCTCGGCTGCAGCATCTCTGGAGAAGGTAACTTGGCCCCTGGCCGGGGGAATGTGGGCATCTTCCCATGGGAATCCGTAGGGGGATGCAGCTGCTGGTGGCACAAAGGGGGGGTCCCATGAGCCATACCCCCCCATACGACACCAGCACCCAAAAGGGGGCAGAGCCCCTTTGTGCGGTGGGTGAGCCCCTTTGCCGCGGGCCGGCGGGGCTCACGGGGCGCCGCAGAGCGCGCGGCCGGGCTCTGCTGCCGCCTGGCCGTGCCATGCCGCCGCGGGACGCCGCGCCTGGCCGACCTCTCGGTCAAGACGAGGGACGTGTGGGAGATCCCGCGCGAGTCGCTGCAGCTGCTGCAGAAGCTGGGCAACGGGCAGTTCGGGGAAGTGTGGATGGGTAGGAGCCGTGGGCGGGACGGGGCGGGGGGCGGGGGGCGCCAGGGGACCCCCAGCCCAGGTCTGCTGCTCTCCAGGGCACGAGCGTGCGGCTCCCGGCCCCGCCGCCGAGCACCGCTTGCTCCTTGCTCTTGGCATGCCAGCGGCGGGGGCATCATTTGCCCACTAAATTCCTGCTAAATTCAACCTAAAAGTGGCCCCAGAGGGGGGGTCACGGGACCCTCCCCCCGCAGCCTCCCCCCTCATTTCGGAGGGGACCCCGAGCAGGAGCCACCAGCAGACCCAGGGCAGGGGTCCCCCCGTTCCTCCTCGGCCCCCGGCCCGTGCCCGCCGCGCCGCGTGCATGCCGCCCTCACCGCCCGCCGCCCCCGTGCCCCTGCAGACTGTAACGATGGGCTGTGCCATCTGCTAACCCGCGCGTGCCCCGCTCCGAAGCCCCAGACCCTGGGATTAGCTAAGGACGCCTGGGAGATCGCGCGCGAGTCCATCAGCCTCGACACCAAGCTCGGCATGGGATGTTTCGGAGACGTGTGGATGGGTAAGGCTGGCGCGGCCGGCCTGGGGGGCGCAGGGGGCCGCAGGGCGCCCTGCCCGGTGCCATCGGCGGTGGGACACAAGACTGCCCTGCGGAGGGGCTGGGAGCAGTTAAGGCACGAGGGGTGACCCGAGGGTGCCCATGGCGCAAGGCGAGGGGGCTCCTTGTCCTGGGCTGGCATCGTGCCCCTTCCCGGCCCCGGCTTCCTTGCTGCTCCATCCATGCATGCACTCACGCAGGCATGCGGCACCCTCCCGTCCTTCCATCCATCCATGTGTCCTTCCATGCATGCCCCCCTCCATCCACGTGGCCACGCCACCTCCCACGAGTGCCAGCATCGGCGCCGGCCGTGCCGGGCCTGGCGTGACACCGCGTGCGCCGCGCGCAGGCACCTGGAACGGCACCACCAAGGTGGCGGTGAAGACGCTCAAGCCGGGCACCATGTCGCCCGAGGCCTTCCTGGAGGAGGCGCAGATCATGAAGCGGCTGCGGCACGACAAGCTGGTGCAGCTCTACGCCGTCGTGTCCGAGGAGCCCATCTACATCGTCACCGAGTTCATGAGCCAGGGTGAGCGCGGGGCACGGCCCCTTGGGTGCCTTTCCTCACCCCCTGCATTTCTGTGAGGGGCAGGGACAGGCAGGGATCCAGGGGAGGGCACCCTTGGGTGGCATGGCTGGTGCTTGGGTTGCTGACTGGCACCTCTGTCCCCAGGCAGCTTGCTGGACTTCCTAAAGGACGGGGACGGACAATACCTGAAGCTGCCCCAGCTGGTGGACATGGCTGCGCAGGTAGCGGGGGCTGCCATGGGGAAGGGGACAGCGCCATGGGGTCCCCATCCTTGCCAGGCTGTGGCGGGTGACAGCGGCACGGGGCCAGGCGGTGCTCAGTGCGTCGCCCTGGCGCAGATCGCCGCGGGCATGGCCTACATCGAGCGGATGAACTACATCCACCGGGACCTCCGCGCCGCCAACATCCTCGTGGGCGACAACCTGGTGTGCAAGATCGCCGACTTCGGCCTCGCGCGCCTCATCGAGGACAACGAGTACACGGCGCGCCAGGGTGAGCGGCCCCCTCCGCTGCCTGGCCCCCCCGGGCCGGGTGCCAGCCCCTGTCCCGGGGGCTCCAAGTGCCCCAGTGACAGGCGTCCTGTGTGCCCTGTGGGCGTCCTGGCGCAGGGTGCCCTGGGTGCCAGGGAGTCTGCGTGTCCTGAGCGCAGGGTGCTGAAAACCATGGGTGCTGAGAGCCCTGGGTATAGGGTGTCCTGGGCACTGGGTGCCCAAGGTGCTGAGAGCCCTGGGTATAGGGTGTCCTGGGCGCTGGGTGCCCAAGGTGCTGGGTGCTGAGTGCCCTGGGTACAGGGTGTTCTGGGCGCTGGGTGCCCGCAGTGCTGGGTTCCCCAGCTAGGGTGTCTCCCGGGTGCCATGGGCACTGGGTGTCCTGGGTGTCACACGTGTCCTCAGTGCTACGGATGGAGGACACGCTGGGTGTCCTGGGTGCACCAGACACAGGATTCCCCAGCTAGGGTGTCTCCTGGATGCCGTTGGCACTGGATGTCCTGGGTGTCACACATATCCCCAGTGCCACGGATAGAGCACGTCCTAGTGCCAGGGGTCCCGGGCGCTGGGTGCCCCTGCCCAGCTCACGCAGCCTCTCCTGGCCCCCCAAGGCGCCAAGTTCCCCATCAAGTGGACGGCGCCGGAGGCCGCTCTCTACGGCCGCTTCACCATCAAATCGGACGTGTGGTCCTTCGGCATCCTGCTCACCGAGCTGGTCACCAAGGGCCGCGTGCCCTACCCAGGTACGGGGCGGCACGCGGTGCTGGGCACGCCGGGCGCCCCTGGGCTCGCCCCGCGCCTCCCTCGCCGCCGCCGTCACCCGCAGGGATGAACAACCGGGAGGTGCTGGAGCAGGTGGAGCGCGGTTACCGCATGGCGTGCCCGGGCGGCTGCCCGCCCTCGCTGCACGATGCCATGGAGCAGTGCTGGAGGCGCGAGCCCGAGGAGCGGCCCACCTTCGAGTACCTGCAGGCCTTCCTCGAGGACTACTTCACGGCCACCGAGCCCCAGTACCAGCCCGGGGACAACCAGTGACAACCAGTTTGGGGACCGGCACGACTGGCCTCGCCTGCCCCGCGGCGCTGCGGTGCTCCCGTTGCGCGTGTGCCCTCCGGGGACGCTGGGGATGCCCCGGCGCTTTGCACAAGGACTGTGCCCAGGCCAGGCACAACCCCTCTCTTGTGGCCTTCGCATCCAGCTTTTAACCACACAAGTGGGTTTTGTCCCTGCTGCGCGGTCCCGCGGTGCCCTTGGGGACATGGGGTGGCAACTGGGGGTGGGGGACACCCCAACCCCCCACCCCTACATCTTCAGGGCACCTTAAGTAGCATTAGCACAAGTGCACGGAGGGGATCCCAGCACAGCCCAGCTGCAAACACCCCTGGCCCCAAAGCAGCTTGGGGGCACCTAAGGGTGCCCCCTCCCAGCACCCCTGGCACCAGGGAGGGGGGTGGCCAGGGCCGCCGGCAGCCCAAACTCAGCCCTGGGGGGCTTATTGCCCTTGTGGCTCGATGCAGCCGCTGTTAACAGGGGGCTAGCAAGGTGCCCGGGGGGGCTACTGCAATGTGACAGTGCAGGAGACCCCCCCTTTGCCCACGGAGGGGTCTGATCCTGCAGGCTGGGCCCAGCCCTGCTCCCCTGCACACGCATTTGGTGCCCTGGGGGGCACCCGTCCGCCTGGTGGTGCCAGCTGGGGGGATCTATGGGGAAGGGGGGTGGGTTTTGTTGTCTATAGAGGGAAATAAACCTCTTCCTAACAAGTGGGAAGGTCCTTCCCGCCTTGTCTCCTTGCCCAGCAAAGAACATCCTGGAAAATCCCACGGAGTGGGGGAGTTGGGGAGGGTCTTGCATCACTTGCAGACAGAGCCAAAGGGTGCTGGGGGGGGGGCGCGCAATGAAGCTGGTGAGGAAGAGGTTAATCTTCCTCCCATCCCACCCAGGCAGGGCCCAGCTGGGACGGATTCCCAGCACGGGTGGGACGCAGCTGGGGCAGGTGGAGGAGGGAGGTGCAGGGCCCTTTGCAGCGGGTTTGGGCTTGGGGACACCACCCTCCGCTTGGCACTGCCGGCCACCTCAGCAGCGCCCCTCCATCAACCCCCCACCATGGCATTTTAATACCAGCCCCTCCCCTGGCTGCACCCAGCAGTGCCAGGGCTGCAAACCCTGCAGTGCTGGGGCTGCAAATCCCATGGTGCCATGGCTGCAAATCCTGCAGTTCTGGAGCTGCAAATCCTGCAGTGTCAGGGCAGCAAAACCCGTAGTGCCAGGGCGGCAAATCCAGCAGTGTTGGGGCTGCAAATCCCATGGTGCCAGGGCTGCAAACCCTGCAGTGCTGGGGCTGCAAACCTTGCAGTGCTGGGGCTGCATATCGCACAGTGCCAGGGCTGCACCCCACAGTGCCACAGCTGCAAATCCTCTTGCACCTGGGAGCGCCCGGGCTGCAAACCCTGCAATGCCAGGGCTGCAACCCCCCTGCGTCCCTGCCGGGGCCAGCGGCGCCCGTTCTCCTTGCCCATGCGAGGGCAAGGTTCCTCCTGGGAAGCACCCGGCCGCGGTCCAGCCTGGGCAGGCTGCCCGGAGCTGGGGGGCCGGGCAAGCGGAGCAGATTGCGTGGCGAGAACAGGCGCTGCGAGGAGGCGGCTGGCACCGGCCGGCGGCGGCGCAGCCCGGGTCGCCAGATTGCAGCGCCGGCGCCAGGGCGGCCACCGGGGCTCTGCCGCCCCGGGGGGCTCTGCGGCGTGGGGCAGGGGGGCTGCTTTGGGTGCAGGGGGGCACGTTGCCCGTGCGCACCCGCGTGCAGCCGTGCAAGGTCCAGGTGGCCGCAGGGCACGTGCTTGGGGACACGCAGAGTGCGGGGTGCGCGTGCTCCCGCGCATGTAGGTGCACATGGGCATGCTCGCTGGGGGCACCTGCGTGCAGCTCGTGTTCAGAGTGGGCACCGATTCCCCTGCGCATCCCTCCAACCATCCATCCCTCCGTCCCTTCTCCCCTCCATCCACCCTCGAAGCCGCATGTGGGGTGAGATGCCGAGTAGCAGCCGGCGCCGCAAGGCTCCCAAATGCACCAAAAAGGGGTAATAGGGCAAATGCAGGGCCTGGCAGCGTGGAGGGGAGGTGGTAGGAGGCAAAGCAACCGGGCAACGTCAGGGGAGCTCAGCATCACCCCCAGCCCTGGCCCCGCAGCACCCGGAGCTGCCCGTTCCCGCTGCGGGGATGCTCTCCGGCTCCCTGCGCCCCAGCGAGCGCAGTGCCAGGCGGGCACGCAGGGAGCCGGCCCGGCGGGGCCGCGGGACGCACGGAGGGGGCCACGGTTCCGGAGCTGCCAAGCGCGCCGCGGGCGCAGGTGTGAGAGCGCTGCAGATGGCTGCGCCGCTGACCCCGGCGCCAGGGAGCCGCCGGCACCGCCGCCCCCTCGCCAGGCTCCCCCCGGCCACCGAGGAGCTGTCACCGCCCCAAAGTGCTGCGGGGACTGGCTGCGTCCCTGGGGGACCCCGTGGCGCAGCGGACGCTGGTGCCCGCGGAGGCACTGACCAGACAACAGTGGAAAGCAGCCAAATCCGCAGCGCGAGGCTCGGGGGCGGCGGGGGCTGCCGGGCTGGGCTGCAGGCACCGTGTCCCCCCAGGGAGAGCCGGCAGCAGAGGGACGGAGCCGCCACCGCCGTGCCCGGGGTGGCTCTGTCACCCCTCTGTCCCTGCGCCCGCTGCCTCGCACACGTTTCCTCTCCCGAGAAATTCGGCTCCAGGCTGAATGCAACGCAGTGAGCAGGGACATTCAGTCCTGTCGATCCGGGGGACATCAGGCTGTCCCTGCGTCCCTTTGGCCGGGGGGACAGTGGCTGCTGCTGCTGGCCAAGGTGCCCTGAGCTCTCCAGGGACAGCAGAGCAGAGATGCCGGGTCCTGACAGGCGCGATGCCCAGCGCGGGGATGACGCTCCCAGTGCTCTGGGCCTCACCAGGGACGTGGAGGGGTCCGAGTGCCACCGCGCAGGCCGAGGGGACGCGGCTCAGCCCGGGGGACAGCGGTGGCCCCGTCTCGGCAAAGCAGCCGCTAGATGGTAGCGTTAGTCCGCGCCAGCGCTGCTGACACAGCACTTGCCGGGGAGAGAGACGGGGCGCCCGGGTGACCCGGGTGGCCCTGGGGACCCGCCGGTGACACAGGCAGGGCCGAGCACCCGCAGAGCCGTGACACGGGTGGCGGGGACAGCGCTCCCCCTACCCGTATGTCGCCGGCCACTGCGGCGGCTGGGGGACCCTCCGGCCACACACAGGCTGGGGGGGACCAGCTCCGTGTCCCCCCTTGCAGCTCCCTGTCCCCACACCCAAAGCTGAGCCACCCGCTGCAGCCCAGCTGGGGGACACCGGGGACACCAGCCTGCTTGGGAGGGGGCACCAACCCGGGCCTGGGGACAAGCAGGGGTGACCCACGAGGTTGTGCCAGCACAGGGCCACCCCAAGGACAACCCAGCACCAGGGGCCACCTCCGGCACGCGGCTCCGGCTCTTCCAGGGAGGACAAGGGAAAGCCCTGGGCATCGTCCCTCGCTTCGCCCGCCCGTCCCCTCCGCTCCTCGTCCTCCCAGGGCTCCCTGCCAGACTGATATATATATTTTATGATAACTATAGAGATGCACTTCAAACCTGACAAAGGACTTTGACATTTTTAAGCATCTCTTTGATTAATACATGACCTTTTAATGCTTTGGATTAAATTAATAAATCTTTTACGTCGAGGCCCATCCTGCTTGCAGGGCAATGTTTTCGCCACGACCTCCCGTTCTCGCTGTGCGTGCAAGACGCCTGACCCCCCGCTCCGTCCCGCACGCACATCAATATCGAGCCTTGCAATATTCATGCGGTGCAGAGCCCTGCAAGGCGAGGACGGAGGGATCCTCGCCCATTTGGAACCGTCCCTAAAAATAGCAAGAAAATTCAAAGCTGACATTCAGGGCGCGGGGATGAGGGAGCCTGCAAAGTTGCTCACTCAGCCAGCAGCAATTGCAGCGATCCTGTCTGCGTGTGCAGATTCCTCTGCTGACCGGGCTGGAGTGCAGGCCTCCTCTTTGTACGGTTTCCAGGAGTCTGGAAGCGCCACAGACGGATCCCGAGCCGCGTCTGGGAGCGCTCAGGCCTGCGGTGCCCGCTGCGAGCTTGCCCGTCCCGTCCCGCTCGGGCGCGCACATCCCGGGGCACCCGCTGCTCCCGTTTCGGAGGTGGTGCGGCCAGCACCGGCAGCATTCCCGCGGCGCGCTCCGCCTGCACCCCCAGCCCCCGGGAGGCAGGATTTGCTCCGTACTGCCTGTTGATATCCACAGGCGCATCCCAAGGCGGCGGCAAAGCCAGGTGCCGGCTCTCTCCCTGCGCCCATGTGTTATTTCATCGATGACTCACGTGTTATTAGCAGCCAGGCGATATTCCCAATTCCCGGGAGTTAACCCTTCGCTCGGCACTCCCCAAAACACCCTGTCACAACAAACATCACCGCTATTATCTGCTTTAATCGTACTGTGTCTCCCAGGCACGGGAATGCTGGCGGAGCGGCGGGCAGGGCAGGCATTGCCACAGAGATGCTCGGGAGGGCGGAGGAGCCCCGAGGCCACGGGAATGGCCCCCCGCACGCGGCCGCCCCGCGCAGGGAGCCCAGCCGCGCGGCGTTCCCCCCTGGAGCAGGGCGTTCCTTGGACACACGACAGCAGGGAAGTTTCCAGGGCCGCCAGGCCCCGGCCAGGAAAAAAAAATAATCATAAAGAGGAGGAAGAGGGGTGGCCGGGGGGGTCCCGCGCAAAGGTGGGTGCCAAGGGGCCACAAACCCGGGGAGCACCGTGCGGGGCGGTGGGGAGTGTAAGGGGGGGGTGCCCAAGCGGCACCCCGGGGTGCGGGGGGGAGCAGGGGAGGGGGGTTATCTCCTCACCCCTGTCCCGCGGGGGCGCGCGCAGGCGGGGCGCGCAGTGCGCGCGCGCGCCGGGAGAGGGCAGCAGCGCCCCGCGCATCCCGCTGGGACCTCGCGGGGAGACGGGGCGGAGGAGGAGGAGGAGGAGGAGGAGGAAGAAGGGGGGGGAACCACAGACACAACCCTGTGGGGTGCACCCCCC